CATGGTTAAGCTTTATGGGGGTTCAAAATCCCCCTAAAACTATGGGAAAATTATGTGTGTGTACATATCAGTATTTATGTGTGTGTGTGTGGAGGGGGGGTGTTGCTCATAGTTTTATAAGATTTTCAGTGAGTAACCATGGATATAAATAATGGTTTGCATAAGAACGGTTAAAGAACGGTGGGGGGGGGGGGGGGGGTAGCAATGACGGAGACCTGCCTAGATGACAGCTACACTTGCTTTTTGGAAGCCACTGATGGATGCTGGGCTGAAAGGGAGGAGAAAGACCAAGATATAGGAATATTTCATTACTTGTACCATGATGTGAAATAGCAACAAAAAAGAGAAATTTGGGGTTTGCTTTAGGAGATAAAATATTATGTGAATGTCTAAGTGGAATGAGAGGTTGAGATTGCACATCCACCAGAGTAAAAACATTAAACAACACAGGAAACGACCGTAAAAATTTTCTATCATAAAATAAACACAATTCTGTGTGTGTGTGTGTGTGGGGGGGGAGCATGGATAAATAGATAATGACATTGAAAGGTGAGTGAGAAGGTGCTCCCTGATCAAGGAGGGCAGGAGTAGGCTGGCCTGACTGAACTCACGTTGCTATGGAGACAGGGAAGCTGGTGAGCAGTATTTGACCTGCCATTTCCTATTTCCGTCTGCAGGGTTGCCCTGAATGGGCCACAGTGCACAGACTCTTTGGAAGGAAGGGACTGCAAAGTGACAGTGACGCTGGGAGGGGGCTGTGGTCGGCTGAATGATGCCCCTGCCACGAGGTCCACGTCCTAATCCTGGCAGCCTGTGCAGGTTACCTCGTGTGACAAAGACTTCGTAGGTGTGATGAAGTTAATGACCTCAAGATGGGGAGATGATCTGGATGGGCTCTAAATACGACAACAAACGTCCTTAGGGAAGGGTATTTGATGAAGCACAGGAGAGGAGAAGGCAGTGAGAGCCTGGAGGCCGAGATGGGGGTGATGCAGTCACAAGCCAGGGGATGCTGGCAGCCACCAGCAGCTAGCAGAGACAGAGAGACAGAGGATCCACTGGCGCCTCTCCGGAGGAGGCACAGACCTGCTGACGCCTTGATGTTGGCCCGCTGGTACTGATTTTGGACTTCTGGTCTCCAGAACTGTGAGGGAGTACATTTCTGTTGTTTTAAACTACCCACTTTGGGATAATTTGTTAGAGCAAGAAAACTGATACAGGGTCTAATCCAACATTCCAAAAATTGGAAATATTCAACCAATCAATTTAACTCCATGGTCACTTATAGGCTAAGAAGCTGTCTGGACTCTGAGGAAAAGAAACAACTAACTAGAAAATACCACGCAAGATTCACTTGTTCAACCTAGTAGAAAGCTGGGCCGAATTTCAATCATGTAACCATACTGTGATCTAAAAGGAGAACAATAATTTTTAAAAAATAGGTTTGAAGAGAGCAATGCAGAAGTTGCCTAGCAAGGAAAGTCATTCAGTCAATCATGCCAGTTTAGAGATTGCCAGCTGTCAAACATTAGAAGGAAACTATACGTATTCCATGTGGGAAAGTGGGGGGGGGGGGGCAAAGGAAATGGTAATGCCAACGTACCTGTCATATGCACAGTCTTCAAAGCACTTCCAAATGCATAACAACAGCAGCCACTCATTGAGTACTAGGTGTTGCACACCTTACATTCACCAGGAATCAAACTTGAAACCTCAGCATATCAAGACGATGCTCTAACCTACTGAGCTACCCGGCCAGGGCCATTACCTCATTTAATCAAGACAAGTATTGTAATATCCATTTTATAAAAAGTGAACAAGCTGAAAATCAGGCCACAGGGGCCAAACCAGGATTTAGAACCAAGGTTTGTTTGCCTCCAAAGCCAATTCTCTATTGTACTATCTGCTTTATTTCACCATTAATCCTCACACATGCTCTGTAAAGTGGACTTTGAGCTCCATGAAGATAGGGACTGAGTATCTGTCTTGTTCACCACTGCATCTAGTTAGTGATCAATAAATATTTGGTAGATGAATGACTGGAACAGATGAGGCCTAGAGAGATTAAATAATTTATCCAAGATCACACAGCCACTATTTAAGAGGGCCAGGTTCTCTGATTCTAAGTCCTATGCACTACAAATTGAGATCCTACAGCAGCCCTTGCTGGTTTGGTTCAGTGGATAGAGCATCGGCCTATCGACTGGAGGGTCTCGGGTTCGAATCTGCTCCAGGGCACATGCCCGGGTTGTGGGCTCGATCCTCAGTAAGGGGCATGCAGGAGGCAGCCGATCAATGATTCTCTCTCATCATTGATGCTTCTATCTCTCTCCCTCTCCCTTCCTCTCTGAAATTAATAAAAAATATATATTAAAAAAGGAAAGATCCTACAGCATGTGGAGCTATGTGGGTATCTTGGGCAGGGATTTGGCGGTGAGGGGGATAGAGACAAACAGGTGCAATAACAGAAGAGTTTGGTTTGTCTTGTATAAGTGCTGAGATCCTACCCGAGTGAAGATAAAGCCGAAGACCGTGACTGGAAAAGGTGGATTGGGAGCAGCCAGAAGATGAAGGATGTGAATTGAAGATGATTCGGTTGATTCCGTCAGGAAACGGTCTGGGCAAAGACCAAGGTAAATACTATTCAGGGGAATAGAGCCAGCCCCCAAATGCCATGCCACCAGTCACAAGGGTATGGGGTACATGCCAAGGGCAGCTTTGCCTATTAATCGAAGCCGAGTAAGTGATTCCATGTGGTGAAGGACTTCGGAGCCCAACCAGCTGGGATTCTGCTTGCCTGAAGCTGAACTATCTGCCAAACTCTCCCCAAGTACTGGCTGGACACCCAGACTGGAAAGGAGAGACTCAGAAATAATGAGGAGTGTGGTGGGAGGCGGGAGGCTGGAAGCGAGGGTTGCCGCAGCATCTGCAGCCTGCCTGACTGCTCTTTGTCAGTCCTAGACCCTTGGTCCCTCCCCCTTCCTAAGAAATGGAAAAGTTTTCACAGGACACTCAGTTTAGCCAAATCAGAGGCTCCCCAGGTAGCACAGACAAGCAAAAGGACGCACCCCTCTACAATGTTAGCAAACGCCTGGAAGTTCCCAAGAGGAAGGATCGAGATTGAGAGTGAGGGAGCCTGGCTGCTCCTGTGCTCAGGGGCAGACCCTCCCTTGGTCTCATCTTAGAGACCTGAAGCAGCAGGACAACAGCTGGTGGCAGCTCCATCGCGTGGGCCTGCTTCGTGTAGGTGTTAAGCTAGAAGAACAACTCCATTCCCTCCTGATGAATTTCAGAATTATATTCATTTGTATTCCCAGCACCTAGCAGAGTGCCTGCCCCATGGTAGAAATTCAAAATGTTGAAGAACAAAGGGAAACTGGTGGTAAATATCATTAGGCACATACAACAAAGTGGACTTAAAAATGTTTTCCTAGGAATCTTTAGGTATACCCTGTCAGGATTTCGTTTTCTTAAAAAATATACTTTTGTTGATTTCAAAGAGGAAGGGAGAGGGAGAGAGAGAGAAACATCAGTGATGAGAGAAACTGCTACCTGCGCATGTGCTGACCGGAACTGAACCATGACCTCCTGGTTCACAGGTTGGTGCTCAACCACTGAGCCAAGCTGGTCGGGCTACACTGTCAGGATTTAAGAGTGGGAGGAAACGAGATGTGTCCTTCCCAAGGAAATATGAACCAATACGTTTTGAGATAATACACATCATTTTTAAGTGCCATTATGTGTTAGGAGCAGTATCTCATTTAATCCACATAATTAGCCCTGGAGGAAACGGAAGCTCAGTGAGGTGAAGTCACTTCCCCAAAGACATAGTGGCAAGAGATTTAACCTGGGATTTAATCCAGATCTGCCTGACTCCAAACCCTGTAGGTGCCCTTTTCATTACACTTTCTTAGGGAGAAAAACAACCTCATCACTGTCTGTAGAGAAAGCCCTGCTACCTTTCTCTGCGTTATTATTAAACTAGAAAGTTACAGATTTAGTCACTCCATGTCCGACAGGGGCTGACCAGCCAGGGAGAAGTGATGTCTCAGAAATTCCAGACCTAAATCCTGTATCCCACACCCTCACTATGTATTCCTTGTTACACTATCAATCTGGAGCTGAAACTCAGGAAGTTCTGCACTGGCTGACCAAAACAACAAAGAAAACCTTCCCCTTCCCCTTCTCAGCAGCCCTAGAATCTTTAAGATGAAGATTTCCAATGGAACTCGGATTTCTGCCTGGCTCATGTCCACAGAATTTAACATCGAAAGAGCCAAGGCCTAGGATTTATCCCGAGTTCTTGGGCAAAAGCCAGGAAAACAGAGCCAGACAGATAGGCCGGAGTTGAGAGGCTTCAGACTGAAAAAGACAAGAAAGCGAGGTTCTAAGTCCCGGAACGCTGGTGTGAGCCCAATGGGATGGCCCCAGATTTAAGAGCACAGTTACTACAGGCAACTTGTGAAGGCACCACGGAATTCCCCAGCAAATGCCAAGTTGCACTGGACATTTTAGAGTGACAATGAGAAAAGAATTCAGAAGCCAGGGAGACGGAGTAAATTTACAGGGAGCCCAGGAATGGCTGGGGCCACAGAAGAGAGCCTGGGAGCCCACGGGTGAGAAACGTCTTGGGTCTGAGATAAAGGATGAGACCCCACACAATGGGGACCCGTCCTTGAAGGCAGAGAGATGGGAAGGCATTACTCTACAGAAGGCATTCCATTTCGCAAGGAGAAAAGGCTGGGAAGAAAAGAGGGTTTTATCTGTACAAGGGGTGGGGGTCCCTGAGAATATAGTAGTAACTCAATGAAGGGGAGGGGTGTGTATGAGTGTGTGTGTGTGTGTGTGTGTGTGTGTGTGTGTGAGCGTGCAGCGCAGAAGGAAACTCCCCAAAAGGAAATGCATGTGAGGCTCTGCGCCAGGAAGGCGATCCAGAGGGCCGTGGGAGCGAGGCTCCCGTGCAGAGGGTGTCCCGCAGGAGGCCAGACCCGCAGACTCACCTCGGCCATAGCCCTGCGTGTGCTTGGCAAAGCTCCTCACCACGGCCTCCACTGCCTCCCGCA